CGATCCACTCTGTCCTGCACCTTCCTTTCTAATTTTATCCAACTTTTTTTCACTCTTCTAATGTCTGTCTTCATTTCTCGGTGTAATGTGTTTTTCGGTCTTCCTCTTCTCATTTGACCTTCAGGATTCCATGTGAGGGCTTGTCTTGTGACTCAGTTGGGTAATTTTCTCAATGTGTGTCCTATCCACTTCCAGCAATTCTTCTTCATTTCTTCCTCCACTGGATGAAATTTGGTTCGTTTTCTGCTACAGTGGAATATTGCTCATGGTGTCTGGCCAACGGATCCGAAGTATCTTGCGTAGACAACTGTTAATAAACACCTATATGTTGTGGATGATAAATTTCGTAGTTCTCCAGGCTTCCGCCCCTTACAATAGAACTGTCTTGACATTTGTATTGAAAATTTTGACTTTCATGTCGGTTGACAGACAGTTGTTTTGAGTTCCAGATGTTATTCATAAATAAATATACTGCTCTTAATCTATCAGATATATATATATATATATATGCAATGGTAAATTGGTGAACTTTAAATCACGCACAATTAAAGCAATTTGATTAATATTTTAGCTAGAAATTACGTGCAACCAAGAAATATTAGGCGTTATTATGTTAACTTTGAAAAGTCTATCATTGTTGAAGAGAATTTGGCATAAAATTTAGTTTCCTCCATATATACATATATATTACTTAATTTTATAACTGGACATTTATTTAAATATAATCACTTATTATCAGAAGGGGAGTTTTGTGGAGATTTTATTAAATTTATAGTTGAAATCATGAGTCAATTGAAGTTAGACCATGATGGAAAACCTGGAAGCACTGAATGACTGTTCCATATAATTTTGGGACGGTTGTTCAATCTTGTGAATTTGTTGAAGTTAGACATTAACACCGTTGGATATCGGCTTAGTAGTCCAGAGGTTAAGCATTCGCGTGCGAGACTGATAGGTCCTCGATTCGAATCTCGTGAGTCGGGATCGTTGATGCACACTGCTTTGGATTCCTATAACAGGACTAAACGGCCGTCAAGCAGTGCTTCCAGATTTTCCATAGTGGTCTAGCTTCAATTGACTCATGATCTCAACTATATAAAATTACTAAAATCTCCACAAAACCCCCTTTAGATAAGAGGGATTATTTGATTTGTCATTTGTAGTAGTAGTAGTATATATACATAATGTATATATCCTAATAGGTGTTACTTTATTAACACCTATTACTTTATTACATCGTTATTGAATGTTTAACATTTGGATTTAGTATATCCCAATATTTAGTAACATGAAATCGTCCATACGATGTCCTGAAGTTATAAATAACTTATAATAATATCGGTAAAACATAAGTCTATCATTAGGTACTCATCTACTTATGTAAAATGAAATGTATAATAGGATAATGTAAAGGTTCCAATAAAGATCTTAAATAAAATTATAAAGAAACACTTGTAAAGAATATTGTTGTCAAAAAATATACATCCACCCAGTTTCATACTAAGCAGGTCAATCTATGCAAGGAATTTAATCCTCAAATCAATTTGATCACTGTTTTAGTAACCAACTAAATTTTGATATATATATTTATATATATAATGTTCCTGGAGATCATAATAATTTCATCGTTTCTGTTAACAAATATGATTGATATTTCTCAAACTACTAACTTTCTATTATTATCCATGTTTGCCCCGCGAATGCCCTGGTACGGCCGAGAGTAGGGAGAGTCACCTCTCCCTCTCGAAATGCTCTCACATGGTCACGCGTATATAGCCTCTGCCAGGAAGGTCCTACTCATTGCCTTCTCGAGGCCACGGTGTTGTTTACAAAACTGAGAGGAGGAAAAGAGGATATTCGGAGCTTAAACTGCGTTGGTGGACACGGAAAGTCCACCTAGAGGAGTTGGAAAATCCTGATTCCAAACCAATGGTGAACATGAGATCCAGTATCCTGATGGAACAAATGACGTATGAATCAGTCGTTGGTCACTGGCTACCATGAGACTGCATCTCCTCACGATGCTTCACTGCCTTGTGGATCAGACCTTTAGGTGAAAGGCACCGGGTGTGGACCCCTACGAAAACCTCCCGCTTCGGTTTAAGCGCCCGGGTGAGATTTGTGAGGCGCATACCTATCTGGTGCTCCTTTGTACTAGTATTTATGTGTTTAAATAAATAAAAATAAATTTCCATGTTTATATTTCTTTTAAATATCAGTATTATTTTCATATAATGAGATATATTTAATAGATTTACCATCCATCCATATGTATATATATATTTCCATTTAATAATTTTGGTATCTAGTGTTTTCTGAAATCTATGAGTAGTTGCGTAATATGTGTAATAATGAAATAAGTGAAACTTATAAACCAGTCTAAATTTACATCTATCTATGAGAGCCAGATTATTAGAAGGACAGATAGAAGAGCTACTACTGGGTTTTCAGAATAAGTTCCCAGGTAGCAAAATTTTCACATGCACTTGAAATATAGTTGACACAATGTCAATATCTGTCATTAGTTCAAAATAATTAACAATCACTGTTTCGTTGGTTTCGCTGGTCGGCGGCCTATGCGTAAGCAAGTAAGTTTCGTTTTATTCTATTTTGAAGTGACAACTGTCATCAAACGCTTTTGATCTGAGCTTTGAATACAGAAAAAAAAGCGTCATAACCTTTTTTTATCATTTTGCATATAATTGTAGTCAAATAAGCTTTTTTATGGTATTCTCCCTTATCAAATTCCTTATTTGCCTGTAACATGGTCTGGGTAATCTCATATTAATATGATTTCGGTCTTAATAAATTTGAGTAATTACATAATTATTTATTATGTTCATCACAAATACATAAACCTTTTTCATAAATATTATTATTAATAACTAAAAATTAACCATCAAACCCTCACATGGAATCCTGAAGGCCAAAGAAGAAGGGGAAGACCAAAGAACACAATACTCCGAGACATAGAGACAGACATGATAAGAATGAACAAACGTTTAATAGAACTGGAAAAATAGGTCCAGGACAGAGTGTGTTGGGGAATGATGGTCGGCGGCCTACACTCGATTGGTGGTAGCAAGGGTAAGTAAGTACAAATTAACCCTTTTATATTCTGTATTGTTGTTACCATTACTATTGTAGCTACACTTCTTACTTATTATTATTATTATTACAATTAATATATTTTCAGCATATAAATGCGTATCATTCTTAACCATGTTTGTCGATTTACTTTATAGCCGAATCTTTCCATTATGATTATAGATTCTTTTATGAATATTATCTAAATTTCATAAATGAAAGTATAGTGATATCATTCTATTCAGTATGCCTGTGATTATTCTTCTTTATTGTTTAAATCAGTTAAAATTATTTTAAGCCTTTTATGTTTAAGAAAAACTTAATATTAGCGATCTATATACAAATTTCCCAGGACAGGGTTGGATGAAAAATACTGATGTGGGGCCTATGCTCCTCCACGAGGGGTAACAGGCGTCAGTAAGTAAGTATGTACAAATCTAATCAAGCAAATCTATCAACCCTTTGATTGAATCTAAATAGTTTACATGTTTATATTATTAATAATACAAAGAAAATTAATACAACAAACTGAAAATTATTCAGTATAACTAATATTAACGTTACCACTTTTTAAGTTAAAGGCTATGAGGATTTGAAACAGAACCTTCTCCAAATTTGATTTACACAAAATATAAAAAATTTTTTTACATAATAATTCTTGCTATTCTATTTCATATATGGATAAGTAATCTTCACATTCTCAGGACAGAGTGGGTTGGAGAATGCTGGTCGGCGGCCTATGCTCCATTGGGAGTAACAGGTGTAAGTAAGTAAGTAAGTAAGTAAGTAAGTAAGTAAGTAAGTAAGTAAGTAAGTAAGTAAGTAAGTAAGTAAGTAAGTAAGTAAGTAAGTAAGTAAGTAAGTAAGTAAGTAAGTAAGTAAGTAAGTAAGTAAGTAAGTAAGTAAGTAAGTAAGTAAGTAATCTTCACATTCTTTAATACAATCAACTATTATAAAACCTTCTAAACAATAATTACTAGAATATTCACAGTTTACATCGTGTATATATCTCATGTAAATAATCGCTGAAACCAAAGAATCACTGTATAAGTATATAGTTCTAGTAGGAAACTCCTTGACAATACCGAATCACGATGTCACTTAAGATCGAATGATGCAAACTATGAAAATTCTATCATCTTCAATAAACCACTATTATGATAATTATTAGAATAAATAATAAAAATAATAATGGAGAGTAACATTTCTACCAAACTTGACAAGCATGACATTAATCACCACTCAGTAATCAATCAATTGTGATTACATCTCAGTCCTACAGGAGGTCAGTCGCGGCCCGGATAGCCCAGTAATAACGTCTCTGATTGTGAAGCTGGGTGACACGGTATCGAATTCATCAGGGAGCACCAGTTCCCTCAAGATTACAGGTAAACCTTGCTGACGAGTGCCAAGTAGCACGAAACCTAGGTTCAGGGTTTCTTGTTGACCACCTCTAACCAACATCTTACTTCTTGACAGTACTTAATCAAAATGTCATTTAAGTTCAAATGATGTAAACTATGAGAAGTCGATCATCTTCATTAAACCAGGACTCAGTAGCTAAGTGGATAACGTAATGGCGTTTTAGGCGAAGGGTACTGGGTTCGAGTCCCAGAGTGAACGTCAACTCTGAGATGCAGGTACATCCATCTGACGAGTCCCAAATTAGACGAAAAGCGCGTCCTGTGTTTCACTGCTATCCACTATCCATATGTGCTTACAATGCTTGTGAATTAAGGCTGTATTGAAGCAGTACTCACAGTATGCACATATGCCAATTAGAGATTGACCAGTTGCAGTTCTAACACATCGATGGGAAGATTCAAACAAACAATACTAAATGAATTATAATGATAATTATTAGAATAAATCATAAAAATAATAATGAAGAGTAATATTTCTACGAGACTTACAATTTCATATTCTTTTAAAAGTATAGCTACTCTGAATGGTAAAACTGGTTAGTTTTCAGTTGAAGTTAATTTATACACTAAAAATTGGCTAAAGACTTAGTTAGATATATATATATATATATATATATATATATATCTTAAATGATATTGGTCATAATAGGGACCAATATAATTATGGTACAAAAGGGGTTAATAATGTTAGTAACAGTATTTGGTAACAATGGTGACAGACATTTTTTTTGTACAGGGTTGTGATACTGACAGTTATATATACAAAGACTAATTATTACATCATAGTTATAGTGTAAGTATGTGGAGGTGGGGATATTTAATGGATTAGTTGAATAGCCAATTAACTAAAGACGAATAATAAAATATTGTGTTAAAGGAAAATTTTAGTGTGTAGCATTTTTTTTATTGGTTCTTAAATCAATGTCTGTATGTGTTGGGTGTGTGGCGGGGGATTATGCATTATAGTGTTGTGTTTTAGCCAATCATAAAATTTTTTCTGAATTAAACGAAAATAAAAATAAATTTAAAACAAACAAAATAAAATAGTATAATTAAAAATTAGTTAGTGGTTAGCAGTGGAATCCAGAAAGCGCGTTTCGTCCAATTTCGGACTCGTCAGCTGGATGTACCTGCATTTCAGAGTTGGTGTTCACTCTGGGACTCAAACGCAGTACATTTCGCTTCAAACACCATCACGTTATCCACTCAGCTACTGAGTCCTGATAGCCACTTGCTTGTGCAATGGGGTGAAGTTGAAATTTACTTAGTATTGTTTGTTTGTATCTTCCCATTGATGTTTGGGACTGCAACTGGTCAGTCTCTTAGATTTCCATTTCCTTATTTGAATGAATCTTTTTCGATAAACACAACTGAAAGGTAATCTTTATCGGTAACTAATATCAACTATATGACTATATAAAGTGATTGGCCGCCAGTGAATTGTTTCATTTTGGTTTTAAATTTGTCGGTAGTATATACTTGTAACTTGAAAAAGGATTTATAATTATTTTCTAGTCGGCTTGTCACGATTAGAGTAAATGATATAAAAGTTAAAAATTCTGAAATTAGGTCTTTAAGTTCGACATCATATAAGGTTATGTGTTTAGGGTTCTTGGTAGATTCAGACTAGAACAAAATAGTTATCCATTGTTAATTCACTTTCAATGGTCAATCCATATGTTTTACTGAATGACAGTAAACTATATTTAAGGACCTTATAATGACGTCAGTTGTTTGAATTTACTTATCTTCTGAAAGGTTGTTACATCCGTTTTTTCAGAAGAATTACTAGAATGTTTGAGTTTTATAAACAACGTTAATTCTGTATATCAGTGAAAAGTTTAATTATGTATATTGTATTGAGATGTGGGCTAATTATATCCACACACAAGTAGTATATAAAGATGGTCGGGCATTGACTGCATTTTAGTAGAAGATTGATAAGGAGAGAACGGAACCGGGAAGATGCATGAACAATAATAATTGGAGACGTTGGACTGATATTTGCAGAAGAAACAGTCAAGATTGAGACAATTGATTGATATTTCGGAAATTAACTATTTATTGTATGAATTCACTTGGTATTGTTTGTTTGTATCTTCCCATTGATGTTTAGGACTGCAACTGATCTGTCTCTAATTGGCATATGTGCATACTATGCGTATTGCCTCGATATAGCCTTATTTCACAAGCATTGTAACCAAAGATGGATAATGGATGGCAGTGGAATCCATTTTGACGCGCGTTTCGTCTTATTTGGGACTTGTCAGATAGATGTATCTGCATCTCAGAGTTGATGTTCAGGACTTGGTAGCTGAGTGGATAACATGATGGCGTTTGAAGCGAACGGTGCTGGGTTCGACTCCCAGAGTGAACATCAACTCTGAGATGCAAGTACATCCAGCTGACGAGTTCCAAATAGGACGAAACGCGCGACCTGGATTCCACTGCTAATCACTGTTCATCTTTTATATTTACTATATGGTTCTCATATCTTCCTGACATATTCTGTGATTTTGTGCTTAAATACATTCGATTGTCCCTACTTGTCTTCTCGTTCACTACACTATAACCGACATAACACATTGCAGATTATTTGATCTTTTCACTAAACATTTGTAATTATTACATATCTTGAATCAATTCAATTATTACTAAGTTCAATATTTCTTAGACTTGAATTCTTAAAATCATCATTAACTGATCTAATAATGTATTATAACTTGTAAACTTTACTTTATATAAATAATTATACAGAAATTATTTTCTCGTTAGCGTTTTTTAGTGAGTTGATTTTCTACAGGATAGGGTAGCTAACCCCATGCTCAACCCCCCTCCTTTATTCAGGGCTTTAGAACCGGCAGTAGCCCCCGCAGGAGCTACAGGCGGAAATATAAAGACAACTATATAACTGAATAGTTTTTCTAGTAATAGTAACTGTCTTTCCAATTAAAAAATCCTATCAAACAGTTATGTAGCGTATAAATGTATATAACTAATGGAATAAAAATAAATTAACTGAATATTAGTAAACTAATATAGAAAAACAGTTTCCTGTTAATCAAATTAATGGATAGACGCAAAAGAAAAGATCAAAAAGGTCCAAAAAAACAGAATGTCAATATAATTGAAAAAAAGAAAGAAGAATAATTAAATTATATCGGGGGGGGGGAGAAACATAACAAAGATGGAAATAGACATAGCAATTACAAATTTGATATTCATGTACAGACTAGAATCATAATGGATCATATTGAATGATAAGACTGTTTGTTGATTAGTTTATAGATAAGATGTATGGCGAAATTTTCTAATATCGTCGTAGGTAAAAACAAAAACGACAACTAAAGTTTATGATATTTCGTGCAAACCACTTTTTTTAAGAAATAAATAGATAAATTAAATTAACCCAGGTTTAAATGGTAATTCCGCCTGTAGCTCCTGTGGGGGCTACTGCCGGTCCCAAGCCCGGGCAAACGAGGAAGGTCGGGCATGGGGTTAGCGACCCCATCCCGTAGAAAACCAACTCACTAAAAAAACGCCAACTAGAAAAACTTATTCAAACCATTTAAGTAAGTAAGGTTTAAATGGTATAAAGGGACAAAACAAAACTGTTTAGTACGATCAGTCACAAGATGGGTCTGGCTAAGTCAATGTCATGTCCCTCTAATCAAAGTGATTTTTGTAAAACATGTTTATGTATTTATGTACGTGTTAATGGGTAAAAACAAATGTGATATTAGTAGTGTGAAAGAATAGAGGTGACGTTGTATGAATGATAATAATGTGAGATATAAATAGAATCAGTTAAAGTAACTTGAATGAATGGTCTAAGTCAGATGAATAGTAAGACCTTTTCGATTGAAGTTAGTAAGATTTAGCAATATATGGAAAACTTCAGCTACCCTCTAATATCGAATTGATGATTAGTGAAAATGTCATCCATTACGATATGGTCAGTTTGATTGGTATATAAACATAGTATGTTTGAAGTATAATGATTCATACCACAGAGGCTGTCCTAGACTTAACTGGCTGGGCTAGGCAGAAAGCAGGACCGACAAGTACTCTAGACTTCTCGTACGGTTTCTGTGTGTCACTGGTCCGATTGATAAATCACTGCTCTGTGATTGGAGGTCTTATTACGTCATATATTAACAGGGCATCCACTCAGCCATAAGTTATAACAATATAACTCCGAAAAATTGAAGTAAATAGATTTAGTAATTGTTTCTGTCCTTTAAGTATTATCGAATTTACATATCATTCATCACTGACAGTAAAACATTTTGATTAAATTGAAAGATTACTTTCCTGAAGTAAGTTCACTTCCTTTGTTGACTATAGCCCAAAATAAACCCATGCTCCTTTTTCTGTGATGCTACATAGTTTTTTAGTTTATAACTAACTTTGATGACGTTTCTAAAGGTTCAGTCTGTTGATCTTAATTTGACTAATATCTACTGAACATAAATAACCCTTATCCTATAAGCTTATCTTCATGGAAAGTAGTAGTATTAAAATATATAGGTGAGAATGTAAGTTTCGCCCTGTTAGCCAACTACTATTGAAATTCCAGCTTATTGGTCGAGTTTAAATGGTTTAAATGATTTTTTCCGGTTAGCGTTTTTTTTAGCGAGTTAGTTTTTCCACGGGATGGGGTCGCTAACCCCATGCCCAATCCTCCTCCTTTACCCGGGCTTAAGACCAGCAGTAACTCTATAAGAGCTATAGGCGGAGTAACTGGCGTAAGTAAGCAAGTAAGTTTATCGATCGACAATTAATAATGTTACTCCTTTTGAAACTATGTTAATTCTTATTTTCATAATGAGTAAAATGTACTTCATGAGGATTGGTTTATTCTAAAAGATTCCCCCGTTACTTGTTGTCAATTAATATCCAGAAAATAAGATAAAAACACCTTTTACATTTACTTTTGCCTACAATTGTATAAAACTAAGAAATTTTATTTTATCTAAAACTTCGTAATTATTAAAATTAACACATTCTGCGAGATACTTAAATTATGGTTCCGCTCATGAGTTTTATACAAAAGTTACAGTTGTAAAACATTCAATCAACAGAAGTACTAATATCGTAACAGATAAGGAAGGACAACAAGTTGAATTGAATAGAGTTTTGTCTACATTTAGGGATAAGAACTAACCAAAAGAGTTTTTAAAGAAGATTATTAGAAATGAAAGAAAAACTAAAATAGAATGTGTGCACAAAGATTGGAAGTCCACTGTAGTCATCATATACCGTAGTAAAACATCGGAACAAATCAAGCGGATTCTAAACAAGCATGACATAAGAGTGTATTTTCGGGCTTATGACATTATAAGATCAGTATTAGTTAAAGTTAAGCATACGTTTCCAAAGGAGGAACAATAAAATATTGTCTATAAGATCAACTGTCATGATTGTAATGCAGCTTTTGTGGGAGAAATTTGAGGCCGAGGGAAGCTAAACAGTGTTTGAAAAATGTTCCCAAATC